TCCAGTGAATACAGTCCAAATTTGGGGGTGAAATGACCCGAAACATACCCATCGGTGGAAATGTTGCCGGCTGACTCGTCTGCAACTTGCTATCCAGGTGCGCATTCTCTGGGCGCTGGACAGCAGCAGCATCCATGATCATGGGCGATTGAGTGGTGGGGCCTTGAGGAGACATGGTGATGCTGGTGAGCGTGTGGGGGTTGTGATGAACTGTGGAGAGAACCGTTGGAGATGTCGGATTAAGCTTTGTTGTGTTTCTTGGCTTGAGATGGGAGAAGGTTGAGTGTGCGGAAAGTGAGGAGAGATCTAGAATATTTGCTCGAGAGAAATGGAGACGAATGACGGAATAAATCCGAGGCGGGCACAGCAAGTCTCAGCAGGTTCCAGGTTGACGGCGGCGGCGGCGAGAGTGTTGCGTTGGCTGAGAGGTGGGTGGTTGGTGCGAAGATTTCATTACGTCACTGGACCAGTCGCACGGTGTCACCTTATCGCACATGAACTACACGATATGAGCCCTAACCCCTTGTATAACTGACCACCTCTTCTCCCCAAAGCTGTCTGTCAGTGCCCTTTTCCTCGCTTTCATGACTTGCTCTCTTTTTTTGTCTTTTCGTGCCTCGTACACGCCAATCATGTGGATTGAGCCATTTGTTCCGACTTATCCATCGACATTGAATCAGTATATTCGCCCCTAACAAGAGCAGCTTAGACGTTCTGCTTGCAGTTCTATTGGCCGGCGGCCTTGATGCACCCTATCTTTAGTTCAGTCAGGTTTCAACATGCTTGAGAAAAATGAAGCCTGCCGTCGAACGAAATTGAATAGCATTCTTTCCGTCACTGCAGCAATCTACCTGCCTCAAGTCATCTTGGGTGCTAGTTGAACTACACTATCTACAGCAGTTTCGCGCACAGTGTCTTCCCAACCTCTGCTATTAAATGGGCTTACTCGTTCCCTGCGGACTACTCTTTCCGCTGAAGTACTCTTTCCAAATACGCCGCATACCTTTATAAACTTGGTGTCAGGTGTCATGCCAATTCCATAAATGACCTTTACCATGATTTCATGCTTCAATAACAAGCTATAATCCTCTTGAATCCTTTCCTTTTCCGGCCCGGGTTTGGCCAGGACCAAATGAACCTTCACACAGTACAACATCAGAGCTGCTAATCCTGCACCTAGCGCCGTGGCGACCGATGATCCAGACGGTTCCCTGAAAGACAGACTGGCTCTTTCGCTTCCAGGCACGCTGACTTTTTCTCCTGGTAAAATGAATGTTATCCGATCTAAACTCCCGACTGATGCAACGGCATTTCTCCAGACTGATGCTGCACCGATGGTAAAGATTCTTCCGGGGGCGGCCTTGGAAGGGTATGTGGCGTTTTGCTTTGCTCCACGGTCACTGGCAGAGCAAAACATGAGGATACCTCTCTGTGCCGCATCGGCAATTGCCAGTTCCAGGTTCTGGTCTCCTTCTGTTCCCGTAGGTTCGATAGTCCATGACACGGAATTGATGTTCACCTCCTTGCCCACCGCAGCCCTAATGGCTTTTACGGCACTTCTTGCTGCTATCAGTCGAAGGTTTGGGTCCTCTGGGTGGTGGTAGTCTTCCAGCCGCAAGACGTATATTTCAGCGCTTGGACACATGTAGTAGATGTGTCTAGCCATGGCGGTCCCGTGGCCCATGATGGAGACATAATGCGGATGGATCAGGTTGCGCTCTTTGTCTCGAGTAGAAAAGCTGTGTCCGCCGATGAAGGTGCGCTTGGGGAGATCCTTGTAGTCGACGCCGTCGTCTATGAGGGCAATTTTGATGCTAGCGCCCACAGTCTGCCGCAGAGTCTTTGAGCCCCCAGCGTCGGTTTCCACATCAAAATATTTTCTCGGCTAGGGAGAGGAGGTGGTGGAATCCATTCATGCACTTGATCCATTCATCTTTGGTTTGTTGCTTGCCAACATTCCGTGGGGTACGCGGGTAGGCTAATAATTCTGTGTGGTTTCGGTACGGAGGACCTTGTAGTTCGACCTTGACTCCAGCGCAGAGTTCCTTCATGCGCACGACAAAGTCCATAACATAGGTGCCAGTTCGGGCTTCTGATTCTGATCTCCGCCAGGTATTAGTTCCGCTTCCAATCTGTCTCAGAGAGCTCAGTAATCGCAAACAACGTACCTCTTCAATGGAAAGAAACACCTGCTTTAGCTTGCTCAACTTCCTGAGTCCGCCTGACTCAGCCCAGCCTCTCAAGACGGCATTGTTGCCGTTCCAGTAAAATTGAACCTCGCGCACATTCGGCGCAACATTCCAGATAACCTCGGAGCATGTATCTGTTTTTTTTCCAATCCCAGATTTCGATCCCAAAGCCTTTAAGTGATCTTTCAATTGCTTCATCAGTGTGTGGTCGGGTACGTGAGGCTTCTGAGTTGTCGGATACGGTCGGCTCATCGTCCACCATGACGGCAAGGATGGATCTGACTCCCTTGTCACGAAGGCAGTCAGACGCAAAGAGGAGATCATTTCTCCCAATAGCACTGCCAAGAGGCTCCCGACTAACAGCAGCTTTCCGATGGATGAGCGGGACTTTTGGAATCCCAACATATTGGAGCACATCGCTGAACTTGAGCTTTCCTAGGAAGATCTTGAACTGCTCTTCCGAAACTGTCCAGTTGTCGTAGCCGGAAAGGTCAAAAGAAAGCTCCACGTCTTTGATGTGTCAGTGGATGTGAATA